TTCACGAAGATCAGCATTATGAACAGTGCTAGTGCCATCTTTATTAACATACAGGATCCTTTTGAGAGCTTCACCGTCTTTCTGTTGGTACCAGTGGACATAATTGTTGCTCTGTAGTCCGGTCACTTTACAGTTGATATAAGCTCTCCTGCCCTCTCCCTTTGTCCAGGAGAGTTCAGGTTGCTCCACTGTCTGTCCCAACACACCTACTGTAATAAACATTAAACTGTAAATGAGACATTCTAATATTATTACTCAGATTCTTACTTCATAAACATAAAGACTCACAATGATATGATACTTACCTACAAGCACTGAGAAGAGAACAGCACACACATCTATAAACATCTTTCATTTAACTGTGAAATGAAATCTGTTCTTCATAAAATGCTCTTGATTGCCCCTTCACTCTGTGTTTGTGTGAACTGAGCTGTGTAATCTACAACATAAATCTCTCAGCTGTGACTCAGTGATGTCATTTCCTGGATATCAGTCAGCATTCTGGTTCGACTAAAGTAGTTTACTGACGATGTAACTTAGTAATAATAATTATTAAATATTATTATAATCAACATCGTCATTATAATAATCTTCTCATGATTGTCATTAATATTTTGGTGGTCATTATTGCTGTTTTAGTTGGCTGATTATTGCAAACTTTTTTTCTTTTGCTGTCTGGCTGAATTACAAACTTATCTAACTGTAAAATGATGTAAACCGTATGTTATTCTTTGCTAATCCTCAGTTAAAGAACCGAAATGATGTAGAGTTCAGCTCTAGAGGGATCTGACTGAGTTGTATTTTGTATAGTAGTTTTAGTTTTTGTTTGACCAATTAGGGAAATGGTCAGCAATAACACGTTAACTGTAGTGGCTGCTGTTAGTCAGTGTAGGAAGCTCTTGTAACTGCAGCAGTAGATGCTCTATGGAGAATGAGTGTTATTAAGGGAAAGTAAAGCACTTCTCGCCCCCTTCTGGTAAACTGCTTGGTCTGAAACGGATTGCAACCTAATGACTGTGAAGGCCAGAGCTTATGATTTACATGGTTTTCATATTCATCAAACCATTCAGTGACCCCTCGTGTCCTGTAGATGAGGTCATTGTCATCCTGGAAGAGAGCACCCACATCAGGATAGAAATGCTTCATTTTAGGGTAAATATCAGTCAGAAAAACTTAGTATTCATTTACAAAGACCCTTCCTTCTTAAAAGACAAGGTGACCCAAACCTTGACAGCAAAATGCCCCACACAGCTTAACAGAGAGACAGTTTTTGTTAGCCATCCTCAAGCCTTTCAATAGTGAATTTCATTCAATATATATCAATGTTCATTGTATATATATCAAAGTTCATTCAATATATATATATATATATATATATATATATATATATATATATATATATATATATATATATATATGACACCCCATGACACCACTGACAGTCCAATGATGGAAGGTGGAGACGGTTTCTGATACATGGAGCCATTTATCTGTGTAATAAGTCTGTTTTTTAGACCATCATCACATAAAGTCTGACCGGGGATACTGTAAGAAAGGTAAACATCTGAAGCTTATGCAGTGTCCCTGCGATTAGCACTTCAGTTTGAAATCCGTTATGCTTTTATTGAAATCAGGTTGTAGGTTAAATAAATCACTTTTACAGCGAACTACTTTCTTCTTATTTAAACAAATCTTGCGTTAAAAAGAAAGAAAGGAGTGTTCATATACAGACAACACATTGTTTTCTGACATTTAAAATGCCCAAATCAATGGCCATCACAATAGATATATCTATATATCTATCATTGATTCACATTCTCAATTGGTTCAAGCCCACCCTCAGCCCTGTCCAGGGCATATATAAATAATACTTATGACAAAAAATGACAAAAACAGAGAGAGAGAGAGAGAGAGACTATGTGAGTGTGCTGCAGTATTAAACATTTTTGAGAGACCAGAGGTTCATTTTAAGCAGCACAGCTGTTGTCTGTTGTGGAACTTTCAGGTAGGGTGGCAGAGTTATTGTAGAGGATGTGAGCAGTTTGTGTCACTGTGTCTGCCTGAGACAGAATACCAGCAGGCACAGTAATAAACTCCTGAATGACTCGACTTCACTGCATCCAATCTCAGAACATAATTATTTTTCTGTAGCTCCACAGAGAAGTCATTTGCTTCAGGATGGTCAGTATTACGAACAGTGCTAGTACCATCTTTATTAACATACAGGATCCTTTCGAGAGCTTCACCATCTTTCTGGTGGTACCAGTGGACATAATTGTTGTTTTGTAGTCCGGTCACTTTGCAGTTGATATAAGCTCTTTTGCCCTTTTGCTTTGTCCAGGAGAGTTCAGGTTGCTCCACTGTCTGTCCCAGAACACCTACTGTAATAAACATTAAACTGTCAATGAGACATTTTAATATTATTATTCAGATTCTTACTTAATAACCATAAAGACTCACATTGAGATGATACTTACCCACAATCACTGAGAGGAGAACAGCACACACATCTATATACATCTTTCATTTAGTTGTAAAATGAAGTCTGTTCTTCATAAAATGCTCTCGATTGCACCTTCACTCTGAGTGTGCATGAACTCCAGTGTTATCAGTAACCTAAATTTCTAAGCTGTGACTAAGTGATGTCACTTCCTGGATATCAGTCACCATCCTGGTTCCTCTAAAGCAGATTACTGAAGATGTATCTTAATAACAGCAAGAACAACAACAATACAACCCCTGTCTCTGTTAAATAATAAAGATAAGGGTCCCTGAGTTCTGTCTATTCCTGTTAAGTTTAAAAATTAGTAGATTTTCCAACTGTATTAGAGGCTATGTTACTGCAACTGTCCATTTTAAACTCTTCATTATGCTAATAATTCCATGCACTCGTGATTCTAGGATTTTTTTAGGTATTAAAAGAGTCCAGGCGCTAAACTGGCCCGCCTGAAGTCCAGACCTGTCACCACAGAAAAGCTTTGGCACATTATGAAATGAAAAATACAACAAAGGAGACCCTGAACTGCTGAGCAGCTGAAATCCTATATCAAACAATAATGGGAAAACATTTCACTTTCAAAACCACAGCAGTTTGTCTCCTCAGTTCCCAAACGCTTACAGGGTGTTGTTAAAAGAAGAGGTGATGAAACACAGTGGTAAACATGCCCCTGTCCCAACTTTTTTGGAACATGTTGGCATCAAATTCAAAATGGGCTAATATTTTTCAAAAAAATATTTTTTAATTTATATTTTACACAGCATCCCAACTTTTTTGGAAATGGGGTTGCAGAACAGAGGGGGACCAACCCTGGTCCTGGAGATCCACCACACTGGAGAGTTCAGATCCAGCACCCAACTGTGTCTACATTTTTTAGATGACTCTGAAGACATCTATTAATGGGATCAAGTGTGTTATGTAAGGGCTGGAGCCAAACTCTACAGGCTGGTAGATCTCAAGGATCAGGATTGGGTATTCTTGAAATATAAGGACTGCAGAAAGATTCAGTTCTTTCAGTTCAACAACTATGGCACTTCAAGTCATGTCAAAAATCGCACTGCTTTCCAGGTATCCTGAAATATTTGTTTAAAATAACCTATTGCTTACCATACCTTACCAATGGCAAATTCAGCAAACATCTCCTTTTAAGCTTCCTCCTCATCAGTTATTTTAAACAGAGGCCATTCTAAACCTCACTGTCATTTGTGCTGTATCTGTTAAAAGGCCTATACTGGCGTCATAAGGTCTGAAGTGCTTGCCCCTCCTATGATCGCCACTTGTAATGTAATTTGCAGACGATCGCTTAGCTCTCATATTCCACAGAAATCAATGTGTTTTACATCAATCTCAGACAAAAAACTAAGTGGTACCTGATTGTCTTTGTTAAAAATAATGACGTTTTCTCATACTGCACTCACAATTCTAGAGTTATTGAAAAATACATTATATTTGTGAAAATGAAACCAACTGCTCAAGAAACTTCTAGTGCACAGAAAAGGTTTCATTTAGCATTTACCAGTAACTGTAGCTAAGTTAATATTATCCAGCAGCACTCCTGACACTCTTTCAGTCTACACAGTTCATGTGAGCAGCATATTCACCAAGAAATTCACTAGAAATTTCACTGGATGGCAACAAGTTAGCCGATAACATGATTGGAGGAGGCCAGTGTTGGGGGCGGGACACTTAAGGGGCTAATCAGATTTTGTCTGGGGCCAGGGCAGTGGCCCCGCCCCTAGATCCGCCTGTGTTTCCATGGGTTTATTTTCAACATGCACATTTGGAGAGATTGAGTCAACACAATGGGCAACATTTTTTCTTGTGTTAACAAAAATATTTCAGAATGTAAATAATAAACAGAGCGTAGTTACTTGCTGGGGTTGATGAAGTTTACGTTTTCGAGACTCAGCCATTAAGTGCTTAATTGTGTTATGCAGCACCCCTGACTGGTAGCATCTTTACAAGAGTGGAGCTTGATTTTCTCCAATCAATCAAAGATGAAAGCTTTAAGTGTGATGGTCTGACAGTGTTGGTTGTTAGGAGTCACATTGTTTCTATATCTAGAATTTTTCTGGTGGTCATTATGTTATCAAAGTCTTACTGTCTGGATCCTCTGCCAGGACTCCCTACTACACCCTAGACTGACAAAACCCTGTTTCAGCATCTTTTCCCTCGTTTCAGCCTTCTAGAGCACTGACTAATGTGTGGAAAAACCTCCATGAGAGATCTGGGGTCACTATGAGCTTCAATCCAACTTCTTTTTCATTTGTTTTTTTTTTTCTTTCTTGCTCAGATTCATGTTCAACATAGAATGCACTGTTTTGAAAAGTACATTTGAAATATGAGCAACTTTCACAGAATGTAAATTTAAGAGTTTGTGCTTCTGTACTTCAACTTGAGTAAAGATTTTTAACAGGATATTTTTAGAAAAGTAATCACACATTTACTTGATAAATGAATTTATGTACTGCTTCCTCTGGTCCCTGCTTAAGGTTTCATACTGTCAGAGTTTTTGTACAGGATGTGAAGAATTACTGTCACTGTGGCTGCCTCTCTCCCAGCAGGCACAGTAATAAACTGCAGAATGGCTCATCTTCAGTGTGTCCACTCTCAGATCATAAGCATTAGACCTCCTGTCCACTCTCACACTGAACTCTCTTGCCTGTGGATGGTTGGGGTCAAATGTGAGGCCACTGCCATCCTGCTTAACGTAGAGTATTCTTTTGAGAGCTTCACCGTCTTTCTGCTGGTACCAGTGGATGTAGTCAGTGGTCAGATCGGTCACTTTGCAGCTGATAAACACTCTTTTGCCTGCTGGCTTTGTCCAGAAGAGTTCACTTTGCTCCACTGTCAGTCCCAGCACAGCTACTGTAATCAACATTAAACTGGAAATCAGTCATTATAAAAGCTTACGGTTTGTTGAAATCACATGTAATGACCTTGTTTGATATTGTACTCACCTTGAGTCAATGAGAAAAGAATAATAAACATATCAATAAACATCTTTAACTGGAGTGTTAAACACAAAGCTGACTTTTACACACTTTCATGCAGAGTTATCAGTTTCAAAATATCTCTGCTATAAAACAGTGCTGATGTCATTTCCTGTGGGTGGAGCAGCAGTAACGGTGTGTGTTCTTTAATTGGCCACTCCTGCACTGAAAGAGGAGTGTGCTGAAACCAGCTGCTCTCTGTGCCTCCAGCTGTCCTCACACCACAGTTCACAGACTAATTCCTCCATAACACAGTGCTGCACAAAAATGAATGTGGGGTTTTGTTTGTTTTTTGTTTGTTTATTTTAAAATATATATTTTGCTGTATTTTTTTTATTGTTGGAAGGCCACAGGTGTTTAACTAACTGACGTGGTGCGTGAAAAAAGTACTTTTATTAAGCAAAATTCAATCCACCTTACATGTTTTGTGTGTGCATCCCTTGCCTTTATTTTACTTTTAACTGAATATTTATGAAATTTTTACCTTAATTTTTCTTAACCCTGAACCCAACACTGCCTTACCCTAACCTACAACTCAAACCAAAGATTTCAGATCTGTTAGTGTATCAGCTACATTTCGAGCAGGTAGGAGAAGAATGAAAACTTGAAGAAAGAACCAGTGAAAGCGTCATTCTTTATTTCAGTCATTTTCTTTGTTCGAAGAGTGTGTAGATAAAGGAGAAACCAATAATTCTGCTGGAGTTCTAGGTGACCAGGTAGCCAAATATAAACATATAAAACTGTTTAGGTGTGGTGGTCAGAGTGATTAGTACTTCTGTTTAAATTAAGTAGGTCTAGTGTTTTTATTTCTAATCAACATTAGAATGAGTATTGAAGAACTTTCAGGTTTCAGTCTGGCAGAGTTATTGTAGAGGATGTGAGCAGTTTGTCTCACTGTGGCTGCCTGAGACCCAAACCCAGCTGGCACAGTAATAAACTCCTGAATGGCTCAGCTTCAGTGCATTCACTCTCAGAACATAATTATCATTCTGTAGCTCCACATTGAAGTCTGTTGCATCAGGAACATCAGCATTATGAACAGGGCTAGTACCATCTTTCTTAACATAAAGGATCCTTTTGAGAGCTTCACTGTCTTTCTGGTGGTACCAGTGGACATAATTGCTATCGCCCAGTCCGGTCACTATGCAGTTAATATAAGCTCGTTTGTTCTGTGACTTTGTCCAGGAGAGTTCAGGTTGCTCCACTGTCAGTCCCAGCACACCTACTGTAATAAACATTAAACTGTCAATGAGACATTCTAATATTATTACTCAGATTCTTACTTCATAACCATAAAGACTCATATCGATATGTTACTTACCTACAATCACTGAGAGGAGAACAGCACACACATCTATAAACATCTTTCATTTAGTTGTGAAATGAAGTCTGTTCTTCATAAAACGCTCTTGACTGCACCTTCACTCTGTGTTTGTGTGAATTGAGCTCTGTAATCTACAACATAAATCTCTCAGCTATGACTCGGTGATGTCATTTCCTGGATATCAGTCAGCATTCTGTATCTAGTGGCCTAAAACTGTTTGCTTCCACCATGTACAGTAGAGTGCATGTATAATAATGTGAATATTGTTGGCTGTGTTCTATGTTAACTGCAGTGGGAGATGCATGGCAGCTGTTAGTTGCTGTTAGGAAGCTCCTGTGACTGCAGCAGCAGATGCTCTCTGTAGAATAAGTGTTATTAAGGCAAAGTTATGCACTTCTCGCCCCCTTCTGGCAAACTGCTTGGTCTAACATGGATTGAAACTGTAAATACCATAGTACAGGGTGTCCCAAAAAAATTGACATCATTTGAGATGTGAATATCTGAGTAACTACATGTCCTAGGCAAACAAAATTAAATAGGCTTCATGTTGAACATTACAAGACTTATTTATCAAAATTCGAACAAGAAATTCAGAGGGATGTAGATTTTATAACCAATTTCACAAAGCTTCACAAATGTAATATCTTCTGATACTGGTGGTCGTCCAGATCCCTTTGCCCTGCACAGACATGTGCCATGTCCAAATCTGCTTTCCAGTTTGTGCATTTTTATTTAATTTTCTCAAAAATGCATGCTGCACACTCATTTGACTGTGTGTGAGCATATTCTAACACACAAAATGCCTTTTCATTTCTAGTGAATGCCATCCTTCAACCTGAAAAAAAAAACATTAAAAATTAAACTTGGTTAGTTTTTTACATATTTTGTTAAAATTTGAGATCATTTGAGGTCAATGACCCTTCCTTCTAACAAGAGAAGGTGACCCAAAATGTACCAGACTGGACCCTCTCACTGTGTAGGTTCAGCATTCAGGCCTGGTTGATGCTGTTGGTGTGCAGCACACATGCACTCACCCACTTGTGGAGAATATGTTGAAGGATGAGTCATTTTTTCTTTTTTAATCATCACAATTTTGTGGATACGTCTTCTGTCTGTTACAGCATGTTTTCCCTCGTTGCGGCCTTCTGGAGGACTGACCAAAGGCGACACACACATCATCCGTGTGGAGAGACTTCTGTAAGAGAATAGAGGTCACTGTGAGCTTTACCCCACGACACCACTGACAGTCCAATGGAAAGGTGGAGACGGTTTCACATACATGAACTCATACGCCTGTGTAATGAGTCTGTTCTTCAGACTATCATCAGACAAAGCCTGACCAGGGATACTGTAAGAAAGGTAAACATCTGAAGCTTATGCAGTGTCCCTGTGATTAGCACTTCAGTTTGAAATCTATTGTGCTTTTATTGAAATCAAGAATGAAATGGATGTGATTCTCACTGTAGTTTGGTTTGCTGTAGGTTTAATGAATCCCTTTTACAGTCTACTACTTTCTTGTTGTTTAAATAATTATATGGACACATCTTACTGCACTAATGAGAAAGAAACAAAAGTGCTGCCTTGCACTACTATAGAGTGTATACAGTGGGGCAAAAAAAGTATTTAGTCAGCCACTGATTGTGCAAGTTCTCCTACTTAGAAAGATGAGAGAGGTCTGTAATTTTCATCATAGGTACACTTCAACTATGAGAGACAAAATGAGAAAAAAAAATCCAGGAAATCACTTTGTAGGATTTTTAAAGAATTTATTTGTAAATTATGGTGGAAAATAAGTATTTGGTCAATAACAAAAGTTCAACTCAATACTTTGTAACATAACCTTTGTTGGCAATGACTTTTATACAGATAACGAGGTCAAACAGGTGCCATTAATACAGGTAACGAGTGGAGGACAGAAAAGCTTCTTAAAGAAGAAGTTACAGGTCTGTGAGAGCCAGAAATCTGGGTGACCAAATACTTATTTTCCACCATAATTTACAAATAAATTCTTTAAAAATCCTACAAAGTGATTTCCTGGATTTTTTTTCTCATTTTGTCTCTCATAGTTGAAGTGTACCTATGATGAAAATTACAGACCTCTCTCATCTTTCTAAGTAGGAGATCTTGCACAATCAGTGGCTGACTAAATACTTTTTTGCCCCACTGTATATACAGACAACATATTAGGGCTGATGTAGGACATGGACTACAGAATATGAGACAAATATGATTTACTTTTTTGCTTTATAAGGCCACTGATGGCAGAGAGAGAGAGAGAGAGAGAGAGAGAGAGAGAGAGAGAGAGAGAGAGAGATACCAGAGGTTCATTTTAAGCAGCACAGATGTTGTCTGTTCTGGAATTTTCATGTTGCACTCTGTCAGTTATTGTAGAGGATGTGAGCAGTTTGTGTCACTGTGTCTGCCTGAGACAGAATACCAGCAGGCGCAGTAATAAACTCCTGAATGACTCGACTTCACTGCATTCAATCTCAGAACATAATTATTTTTCTGTAGCTCCACAGTGAAGTCATTTGCTTCAGGATGGTCAGCGTTACGAACAGTGCTAGTACCATCTTTCTTAACATACAAGATCCTTTTGAGAGCTTCACCATCTTTCTGGTGGTACCAGTGGACGTAATTGTTGCTCTGTAGTCCGGTCACTTTACAGCTGATATAAGCTCTTTTGCTGTTTTGCTTTGTCCAGGAGAGTTCAGGTTGCTCCACTGTCTGTCCCAGAACGCCTACTGTAATAAACATTAAACTGTCAATGAGACATTTTAATATTATTATTCAGATTCTTACTTCATAACCATAAAGACTCACATTGATATAATACTTACCCACAATCGCTGAGAGAAGAACAGCACACACATCTATATACATCTTTCATTTAGTTGTGAAATGAAGTCTGTTCTTCATAAAATGCTCTCAATTGCACCTTCACTCTGAGTGCACATGAACTCCAGTGTTATCTGCAGCATACATTTCTCAGCTGTGACTCAGTGATGTCACTTCCTGGATATCAGTCACCATCCTGGTTCTTCTAAAGCAGTTTACTGAAGATGTTTCTTAATAACAGAGTCAACAACAGCAACAATACAACCACTGTCTCTGTTAAATAATAAAATTAGGGCTCTTGAGTTCTGTTTATTCCTGTTAACTTAAAACATAAGTAGATTTAAACTCTGGACTTCAGGTGGGTTTGAAAATAAAGCCCTTTCCTTTGAGTTTACACACATATAATTAGTAAGTTTCAGTTACAAAAAAGGAAATAATAAGGGATTCTCAGTAATAACAACTTTCAGCAGCACTTTTCATTTCCCTCTAAGATTTATCAACTGTAACGAACACTGGCTGAAACTTTGCCCTAGGTTAGTGTTTCTAACGTATCAACAACCCAAAGTTAAGGGCCTTTTGGCTCCAGCAAGTCTGGAGTTGAGGTGTAAATCTGTCGGCTTAACACCCCCCAACCCCAGACTCAGTCAGATTTACAGCTGAAACAGGAACCAGCACCCCTCTCCCTTGACCTAGAGGGCAACAGGACAACACCTCCTTGGAATATTGCCCACATGGCCCTCCAAAGTCCTGTGGACAACTTTATCTTAAATAACAGAAAGTACATTTCTAAGGTATATGTCCACTCCAAACTGCAACCATTCGTTAGAACTCTTTTTAACTAAACTAGA